ATATAAGGAGGTTCTGCTCCCTTGAGCTGACTCTGGAACTAACACACTGATTGAGCTCTCACGGTGCCGTGCTGTTGAGATGTGAAGTGCCTCCCCCAAAAGCATTTTAATACATAATATTCACCTGCGAGTCTGGTCATGCTGAGTCATTTTTGTCTTTCTTTAGGTCCTGGGTGAAGACGAAAAGAGCCATTTGCTTTTCCTCGTCTATCTGACTCTATCCTAGCACCTTGAATCAGGTGATGGAGAGGGGAGAGTCCACTATGGTTCCGTAATACATTGTAACCACTCGTAAGGATGCCCAGCTCTAGTTTCCCATCAAAAAGGATGATGACTTTTGGCAGGAAAAGATGTATCACCTCTTAGAGAAACCACCAGCTTCTCAGTCTGTTACTGTTTATGCAGAAAGGTGCTACTGCTCTTAGGAGAAAATAGAGAGAATAAAGGAGAAAAGGTTTTGACTTTGTCCTGAGAACACAGAAACCTATGTAGCAAGAGAGATGTCATGACCTTTTGGTACAGTGTTCTTGAGTTAGAAACGAAAATAATAGATGTCGTTTAAACAATAGTTAAAATGTCCTGTATTATTTTAGTTAGACCAGGGGTTAGCAAACTTTGTCTGTAAAGGGCAAGATGGGAAATATTTTAGACCTTGTGAGCCATAGAATCTCTGTCCCAGCTACTCAAATCTGCCATTGTAGTGTGGAAGCAGCCATAGACAATCAGTGAATGAATGACTATGACTGTGTTCCAATTAAACTTTATTTATGGATACTGAGATTTGCATTTCATATAACTTTCACATGAAATATTCTTCTTTTGACCTTTGCAGTTCTTTAAAAAACGGGAAAAACAATTCTTAGCTCATAGGCCGTACAAAAATAGGAGGTCAATGGACAGTAGTCTGGCAAGCTCTGATTTTGACAAACATGAAGATTATGTCATGAAAAAGATTTTCAGATTCGGACTTCCGAAGCACATAATCTGTTCATACATGCCCCTTTATTTTAACTTCTCAGATTTGTTTGAGCATATAACCACATTTGCCTATATCTGACTTATTTGGAAATAGAGTGTGTATCCTCAATTCAGTATCCATTGAACACTTTGCCCCTTCCCTTCCTTTTAATGAATGAATGTGCATGAATGTAGTACTTTCATAGAGGAAACTAAAGAATTCTTACTACTTGTCTTTATAAATAGCCAAACCAAGAGAGGACATAGTAGCTCTAACCACATTTTAAACTGCATTAATTCATTCAGTAAGTACTTATTAATGAGCTACTTCTTTTGCAGTGTAGTACTGAGTTATGGAGTTAGAGATAAAAGAGGATAGAAGATAATATATGATAGATAGATAGATAGATAGATAGATATAGATGATAGGTAGATAGATAGATAGACAGACAGACAGACAGACAGACAGACAGATAGATAGATAGACAGATAGATAGATAATAGAAAGAAAGAAAATCTAGTGGCTGATAGGTGTCAGTGAGAATTGTTTGGACGTATCACAGGATAAGTGCAGTCACTGAAGCAACAGATAGGTATAGATAAAACTAAGTTTAAGTCTGAGCATTTTTGTGTTCCAGATGTGTGACCCTGGGCTGATTACATAAACTATATAAGCTTCAGCTTCTCTTTTTAGAATGGGGTTACTAATACCTACCTCTCAAGGAAGTTGTGGGAATTTGTAAACCAGCTAGGCGATACCTGGTAACTAATCAGTCAACAGGAGCTGTTGTACTAGTATGAAAGTATATAATTTGTTCAAAAGAAGCAAACCATCAAAGGTGAAGCAGAGTGACCTTGTGAGTCAAAAATTATGAACACAAATGGAAACCCACAAACCTGAGGGTTGTTGCCTGGTATAGAAGGTTTGGGCGAAAGTGAAAGCGGAAGTGACATTGTCACAGGAGCGATCATAAAGCTGGCCAGTTTTCTTGCCTTTGCTTCCCTAGTAACCAGCTGCTGGATTGTCTAAGGAGCTCCACCTATAGGCCTGGCTCTCCAACCTCCCCAATTCTGACTGGGGAGAAAAGTGAATCATTAGCACCAACCCCAGCATCCTGTTGCCTTCCAGTCAGGTCTGCTGTGAGCCTTGGACACCTGTAGCTCCCTCCTATTATGCCTCTAGCTTCTGTGTTTGTCCAATTCTGGGCTTTGACCTTGACCTCCACGTTTCAGTCTCTGGTCATTCTGCCTTGTATACCAGCCTCCCTGTAGATGTGGGACCCTGTCCTGAACCCTGGCCTACTTCTCCATGACTTGCACATCTTGTTTAGATGACCTCAAAGCAGTCCTGTTCCCCAGAGGGCTGTATTTTGTGGCCCCTGCTCCTGCCATGATCCCCTTAAACTGGGGTACACATGTGCCTCACCCTTCATACTGGGCTGCTAGTATTAATAGCTTCCTGAACTTGACCTCGATGTGAGACACTGGGTCTTGCACAGCCCAGCTGCCCTAATCCAAGGCAGCTTTTGTATGCACAGCCCATCATGCCCTGGGAGTACGCCCTACCCCAATCCCGGTGCATGCTCTCAAGCCACTGGCCATGTATTGTCAACTAGTTCTAGCATGCCTTGTGATCCTGTTATGGCAACATCAATAATGCTTTCCCAATACAAATAAAAAATTATTGGCACAGGGGCAATGGAGAACTCTAACAATCTACTGACAAACTCATTCTGCTGAAAAGTAAGCATCCACTAAAGTTGGCATGACTTAAATTTAGACTAATTGCTTATTGAAGAGGTACCAGTCTACGCTTCACTCTCACCAGCTAAGAAGAATGTGTTGGTGAAGGGGAAGCGACAGACAACTTAAAATTAGTGACCACGGCACCCTTGAATGTGTAATCGCCAGAGAAGGCAACTCTGTATTTGCTAAATCTAACACAAGGAAGACTTGAATAAGTGAAGACAAAATAGGGACATAGTCTGTCTGGCCAGGAACAAGGAAAGACAGCTCTAGAGGAGTCAAAATTTAAATTCTTATAAAACCAGTGATTTCCAAGAAGAAAAGGGAGCATCTAGTAAAGATCAATATGACTGCCCAAGAAGTGTTCTGATAAGCTTGTATTTTTAAAGGACATGTACAAAAGGTAGGAGTTAGGGTAGATGATAAGGCCTTGTTCAAAAGAAGGGCTCAACCCTGTGAAAACAACGCCGGAGGGCTAACATCCAGAGACAACTAGGGTCTGGGGAAAGTACTGAAGACAATTAATGGGTTTTTGTTTGTTTATTGCTTAAACGCATAGTAAGAATAATTGTGAAGACTTGGTAGTGCTACTGAATGGGGCAGAGTCATCTAATGTTAATAGTTAACCAAAAAATACAACCCTTCAACAGTAGCATTTCTTAGATTCTAAGGTACAAACTTTGTTTCCCTTACATTTTCCATAGTTCTAAAATCAGAAAATATCTTCCATAGATATGTGTAATAGATATGAGGTAGTGTTTTTGGGGAAAGGGCTCTAAAAACAGTAATTAAATGGGTGTGCATCATATAATAAATTGGTCTTAGGATAGAGGAAATAGGGAATTTTATTCACATAGCTATTCCAGTATCAATCACACTCAGCAAATGAGGGGTCCTTTGTGCCCTGAGAATGGCAGTTCTGCCAGTGGCCACCAAAGGTAGGAAAGAGTCAGAAAGAAATTTGGAGGCCACATTCAGAAGAGTGATGCCCCCTGGAGGGAACAGAGAAGGGTGGATGAGCACCACTGAAAAGAATAGTAGCAAATACCAGAGACAGGACTGAACCAGGAGAGAACTGTGGTCAAAATCTCTAAGAAGGGGTAAAAAGAGACCATTGCTGGCCCCTTGAAGCCAAGTCACTGTCACAGAGGGGAGAGGAAAGGTGTCTTAGCCAGTTTGAATGGCCATAACAAATACCATAAACTGGGTGACTTAAACAAAATAACCCATGTATTTCTCACAGTTCTGAAGGCTAGGAAGTTCACCATCAAGGTGCCAGCAGACTTGGTGTCTGGTAAGAGCCCGCTTCCTGGTTTACAGACAACCACCTTCTTGCTGTAGCCATTCGTGGAGACAGAGGTCATCCCATCTGTCTGGGGTTTCTTCTAATCCCACTCATGGGGGCTCCACCCTTATGACCTAATTAACTCCCAAAGACCTCACATCCAAATATCATCACATTGGAGATTAAGGGCTTCAACACAGGAAAATTTTTTTGGGGGGGTGGGTCATAAACATTCATTTAGTAGCAGATAGAGAGAGGGGGTATGTGTTGAAAATACCAGCCATAGCCAAGATGCAAGAAGAGATAAAAGAACTGCTATGAAGATACTGAGGAACAATGTCTGAGATGGAGGCTGAGGGATAAAGCTTTGCCTGAGGCAGATCATTTTGAATTATGCCTGTGGCGTGTAGTACGTGGGTGCTACTGTGTCCTGCCTCTTCTGAATCACTGCTGTGATTGACGTAAAGCTCCAGGGCTCCAGGGTCCAACTTAGTTAGCTCCAGTTGACTCATGGAGGGCTCCTCTGAGAACATGATTAAATCCAGATATAGGTCTGGGGTCACAAACCAGGAAAATTGCAAAGTGGTATAAGTAAGACCCTGAGTTTGTTTATTTTAAGACAAGGAATGGGCCAAATATGTAGCCAGAGAACAAAGTAGCCAAGAGACAGACTTTACCAGAATAAATTCAGAGGAGTCTATTTCTACTGGGTCTATGGAACTTGAACTTGTATTAAAGAAGGAATTCAGGCAACCTAAAGATCAATTGGCCATGGAGAAAATTATTCCAACCACACATGATTGGACCTTTAGAAACTGTGAGGCATCCAAGTAGTCCCTATACAGCTTGAATGGAAAGAGGTTAGTACCTAGGGAAGGGACCACATCTTTTCATGATTTCGACTCTAGCTTCTACCATGTTAATAGCGGTAAAACAAATGAGTTTTCAAATGGCAAGAGTATTTCTCATTTTCTATTAAAAACAATTATCTTGATATTGAAAGATGTTCTTACCTTAGTTGTCTTCTCATATGTGTCCCCCTTTCCCCGCTGTTTCTTCCTTTGGGACAGCCATGTGGTTCTGGGAAAGCAGACTCCTCCTTTATTAAGGAGGTAGAACATGGGCCAGACCAAGCCAATCAGTGAATTAGCACCACAAACAAAATTAAAAGATAGACGAGAGATTCTAGTGTGTGTGTGTGTGTGTGTGTGTGTGTTTATTATGCAGAGGGTGCCGAAAAATGTATATACATTTTAAGAAAGGAAAAAACTATTAAAATTCTAAACTATTAAAATTACTAATAAAATTGTAATATACCGATAACAAAAGATGAATACAAGTCACGTTTGACTTCTGCAATTACAAGAGGTGCTCAAAGTGATTACCCTCAGCGTCCAGACACTTCTGATTACGGTGAACTACTACTTGAGCAACGTTGACCAAACAGTCCACTTGTATACATTTTTTTGGCACCCCTGGTGTGTGTGTGTGTGTGTGTGTGTGTATGCTAGAGTAGTATCCTTAATATATAAATAGCTCTTACAAACTGATAAGAAAAAGACAACATCTCAAAAGAAGAATGGATAAAAAACATGAAAAGGGAAAAAGGAATTCAATTGGACAATTAATATGAAAACAGTCCTTCCCAATAAATAATTAAAAAATGGAAAAAAAGTCCAGTCTTATTAGTAATTAAATAAATGCAAATTAAAATAAAACCAGATGTCTCTGTGTCTAGCAAATTCTCAAGAACTTTAAAATCATATCTTGCATGGATAAAAATGCAGGGAACAGGCACCCTTGTACAATATTGAGCATATAAATTGGTTCAAGCATTCTGGAGAACAATTTGGAATTGTGTATTTTAAAAAAAACCTTATCATATGCAAACCACTTAACACAGTAATTTCACTTTTAAGGCTTTATCTTAAGAAAATAAACCAGAGTCATTCACAAAATTCAATATAGAAGACTATCTAGTAGGATTCATTATAATATTGAACATTTGGAGATAACCTAAGTGTCCAAAGTGAAGTATTGCATAAATCGTAATGTATTCCTATGATGAAATTTATGCATCCAGTAAAAAGAAGATTATGGAAAATGTCATGACATCAGAAAATGTTGGTCATTTATTATGAAATATATTTGCTTAGAACAGAAGACTGGGCAGTTACACAGAAAAATATTAATAGTGGTGATATCTTGGTGGTGGATTACAACTGACTTTCTTGTTGCTGAGTTTTGTATATTCTAAATCCACTTCAATAAACATGTATCGCTCTGTTTGTCAGAATGAAAAAGAAATTTAAGAGGAAAAAGGAGTCCAAGGTGAATGATGGGAGTATAAGACAGAACCTCAGATTTTTAAATGAGATTCAAACCTTCTGATCCATACAAACCACATCCCAGGATACAGAAAGAATTTCCAGATATTATCATAGAGATGATATGAGGAAACACTGAGGATGCGAGAAACACCGTAGGCCTGGAGTTAGACCATTATCCCAATTTTTCGAAAAGGGAAAGTTGGATTCCAGAACCCACACTAAGTTTAGATTGCTTAGGAAAAGAAAGTTGGTATCAACAGGAGCCAGCATGGATTCACTTACGTCCTTTCCAATTACGCTCCTTTTCCTTGTCCCCCCGTATGCTTTATGTCATGTAATCTTTATCCCAGACCTCTGAGTATTATTATTATGCCCACTACACAGAAATTGAGTTTGAGGTAAGAGATGTCAAGTGACCCACCCAAGATCCTATAGTTGGGTGTTGTTGTTGTTGCTTGTTTTGTTTTGTTTTGTTTTCAGTAAATAAGGTTACTCGGGTGGGAGATTTAGAGACAAACTGGTCGTCCCTTACGTTGGACGGAGGTTTCCATGGGATCCTCATACACAATATAATGGACCATGGGACAGTATTTTTAGCAGATAAAATGATTATACCCAAAAGTTTGTATTAAAAGAGCATTGTTTACCTAGAGGTTTCCAGTGGTAATAGTAATACTTACCACTTACGGAGGACTCGTTATGTGCAAGGTTCTGCACAAAAGTACTTTCCATGTATCATCTCAGTTAATCTCCCCCAGCGGCCAGAGAAGCAGGCACTGGTATCATCCCCATTTTATAGATGAGGAAACCAAGGCTCAGGATGGTTGATGAACTTACTTCCAATTCAGCAGCTGGAAAATAGAGGAGCTGGGATTCAGTCACAGAAAGTCTGGTTTCGGAGCCCATATGCTTAACTAGTATACTAAAGTGTATTCTTCTGGTTCTTGGCTCTTGTTCTGCTCAAATTGTTTGTTTTTTTTCTTTTTTATTAAAAGGATGATTCATTCATCCTGAGTAACAACTTACACAGCATATTTCTGCTAAGATTACAAAGCTGAAAGCATGGAAGAAAAGGAAGGCCAGAATATATAATATTAGGTACTGTACAGCCCCCCTTTAAGCCTCAGAACCACTTTGCAGTGTAAATATGATTTCCCCTATTTTCACTCATAAAGCAAGTTGAGATGGAGAGAGATCATGACAAATCCAAGGTCCCTGGGCTACATACAGAACAAACTCAGAATTTGAATTTACATCTGTTGGACACCTAAGCCCTTTACCCTTTTACTATTGGCTAATAAAATCCAAATGTGAAAATATAGTATTTAGTGGGGGCAAAAAATGCAAAATCCTGCAATTGGCTTTAATAAGTCAATTGTATAAATATAAACATGGGGAGACCGAGTTTATGAACATGTCAGGTGCAAAACATCTCAGGATTTGGGTTGATTGGGAAGTACCATGAGTAGTGTTACTGTCAGACACTCATACGGTCTCAGACGGTGTTAACAGAACCACGTCCCAGAAAAGGGTGAGAACGCTCCCACTGGTGGGTGCACTGCTTATAACAGATGAGATTTGCGATGAACTCTAAGTGCCACATTTTCAAAGGGACAGACTAGGCTACGGATCTCCAGAGGAGAGCAGCCAGCTGGTAATAAAATACATACATGCACCCATACGTGTACATATACATACAGAAAGATGGGATTATCTCACACAAGTTATACAAGTGAGGAAACCCAAAACTTGGGCTGCTGAAAACTATCCTCAGTTAGCTGACGGGTTGCTATAGGAAAGAAATTCTTCTTCCATTGTGTGTGGCTCCGGAGGACAGAGAGCTGTGGTTAGAAGGAGGCAGATTCGGGCCAGTAAAAGAAAAACCAAAACATAACTGTGTCTTGCACATCTTTTTAGGCACTGACACGCCAAGCCCAATGCTTCAGACATCGCAGGCACTCGGCAAATATACGTTGAACTGAATTGGACGTTCCATTACTGTTCAAGACACTGTCGGTGTCTCGTGGGCTAGTACATTTCCGAGAGATGTTTGAGCAGAAGCTAGGTGGTTGGTCACCTATTGTACTAAAGACTCCCATCCCATTAAAAAAAAATATATATATCCGATACCTTGTCCAACTCTACCTTCTTCCAAAGCATGGCTTGCTTTCCTCACAGCCAAACGTCCAAGAGGAGTCTTCTTGACTCAGTCCATTCCAGCTTGCCTTCTAACTCTAGACACTGTGCTCTTCACATCTAATTACCAAACCTGATCTTATTAGTCATCCTACCCCAGGGAGAACTGCTGCTCATTTCCTCTTGGCAGGTCTCCTCTCCCTTGCCTTGCGGACCTCGGACCTCGCTGGCCCCTTTCACAGGCCACTTCTGGGCTGCTCCTGGCCAGTCCCCTCCCCTGACTCCTCCTCTGACAGCTGCCTACATGCCTCTTTTTTTTTCAGGGTCCTGTTCTTGGCACGCTTCTCACTGTTTGCCCCCCTCAGGATATCTCATCCATTCTGAGGACTTAGCTACCACTGGGCACTGACTTCAGAACCCATATTTTCAGTCCACACGTCTCTCCTGATGGGCAAACCGGTCTTTCGTTCACCAGTGGATATCCTATAAATCCCTGCAAACTTATTATGCCGCTCATCCTCCCCTCCACACTTACTTTCCTTCCCCTCTTTAGCTTAGTTAAGGTTATTGAACTCAACCTTGGTCTCTCTCCCCTACTCCCAAACCCGTATTGAATTGATAACTTGGTCACCATTGCTACGTCTAACTCTCCCTTGGGTTTGTCACCCCTTTTCGCCCCACTGCTGCTATGGTGATTTTGACCTTAATCGCTTCCTTCGATTATTACAGTGGCCTTCTAATTGGCTTTCTGAGCTGGAGTCTCCCCTTACTTCTAGTGCAACTTTCACCCTGCTACTAAAGTTGTATGTATGTTCTAAGAGGAATGATCCCATCTCTTTCCCCTATTTAAGAATCTCTTATTTATCATTATGTGTTGTCTTCAGTATAAAGTCCACATTCCTTAGCTGTAAGTCAAGGTCCTTCACGGTATGGCTACAACCTACCTTACCAGTCATTTTCAGCCCACAGCAGACTTCCCTCTTTTCATACCCTTTGTCTCTTTTCTCATCTTATCCCCTGAGGATCTCCTCCCTTTGGCCGACTCTTCTCCTCCTTCAGGGCCCAGCCCAAATTTCAGCGCTCCAGGAAAAGAAACCCGCTTCAGCTCGCAAGTCAGATGTCAGGGCAAGAGAGATGGTATTTAAAGCAATGGACTGGATGGGCAAGTGTAGAGGACCATGCCCCAGGGGTTCCCCAGCATTCAGAAATCAGGAAGGACCCAGCAAAAGAGACCGAGAGGGAACAAGCAGTGAGGTAGGAGGAAAGCCAGCATGATGGGGTGGAAGCCAAGTGAAGAAAATAGTTCAACAAGAAGGGAGTGGTCATTGGTGCCAAGGGGCTGCTGAGAGGGCAGGAAGATGAGGGTGGACAATTGACCACTGGATGTGACAACACAGAGGTCACTGCAACCTTCACAGGTGTGTTTTCACTGGAGTAATGAGGGACAAAAGGCTGACTGGATTGGCTTCAGGAGAATCAGAAATGAGGAAGCTGGTGTTTGTGGAATGGCTGGAGTATTGGAGAAACGAAAAACATAATGTCTTAGAGAGGGTTCCATAATTGGTCAGGAACAAAAATAGATAAGTTATTTTGAACTCTTAGAGTCTCTGAAAAATTTCCAAATAGAAACATGACTGCGATTTGGTGGTACAAAGCTTTTCTTAAATGACAACAGGATTTAGAGTAGGGTTACTGAAGCATTAGACCTTGTCTAGGGAAGGTTCCATGTGAGTTCTCTAGCGCAGAACTTCTCAGAGGCTTCAGGGAGAGCTGTCCCTGCAGGATCTTGGGTGTAGGATTTTCAGAGACTATTTCCAAACACCTCTTGTTAGTGTGTGGGGTGTGTATTGATAAGAAGCCTATAGAGCTGGTTTCCATTATTTTGGAGGCTGGGCAGAATACCAAGCCTGGATGCTTAGGAAGAGGTGAACAGGAAAAATCTGACCCGTCCAACACACTGTATTTGAAAATGCTGTATTTGGCAGTACTTCTATATACAATTTTTATACTGAAATAATAATGGAGATGGGCTAAGTGATCACCTATATTTGAAGACTAGGTAGGCTGTTCTTACCTGTTGTTACTCCCTGGAGTATAACTGTCATGAAATACGGAGAATACAGAACGTGGATAGACCAGCCCCAAGCTTTGATTTCATGCTGTTCCCATGTAACATTCTTCGAATAGGGTCTCAAAAGGCACTTTGGTACAGATCCCATGTAGGATGTGCTTTTACTTACATGACTGAGGATAAATTACACCAGGACCATACATTTCCCTTTATAGAATTATTTATGGTGACACCCAGAGCCTGGATTGTGAAATCGAACCAGCCATAGAATATTTAAAGAACTGTCTGTCATGCAGGTACCGTCCGTACCAGTTCCCCAAACACATTGGGCTCTCATTTGTCTGTCTGTGCCTTTGTCTGAGCTGTGCCCTCTATCTCGAATACCCAAATCCGTTTCTTCCTGGCATGCTCAGATCTAGGAGGCCTTTCTCATTCTCTCAGATAGAGACCCTTCTCCTCTCTGCGCTCCCCAAACCATTTTCCACATGGCTCATCTCCACACCTACCACACTGAACTACAGTTGTTTACTCTTCTGGCTCCCTCGTTGAGCTGTGAGTTTCCTGAAGTCAGTGATTTTGTCATCTTCCTATTTTTAGCTTTTGCATCTAGAATCGTGTTTGTGCATTTTGTGCATGAACGCTTGAGAGTGTGAATGAATGAATGAATGAATAAGTGAATGAATACATGAAAAGATCAGAAAAATGTTATCCCCCCACCAAGTAGAAGCTAATACAAGCATAAAAGTGTCAATGACCTTACATATATGCAGCATTTGTGAATGTTGTAGTACTTTCCAAATCCGATTGAGATGACAAGACCATGGCAGCCTAATGCGTAGGAAGATAAGAGTGATACACACAATCAACTCATAACATGTGTGGCATAAGATGAGGAGAACCATGCTGATTAAAATCAGAGTTGGATAGTAGGAATTGATTGCTTTTGATCTAGATTGGGGAGAGAGATTTGATTTGTGGAACACATGAGCCTTTTGGTCTTCATTATTTCTTTTAAGCAAGGTATTTTGCATTTTAAAATGTAAGGGTAAGGTATACCTTAATAAAAATGTTTATCTAAGTTTGGCTACATTGTAAAAACAAACAAACAAACAAACAAAAAACTGTTACACCTCTAAAATGGAAATTACATTGAACCGGTTATTTTATTCCCACATGCCTGGACTTCTTTCATGCATAATTTGTAAAATGATAATAGCCCTTACTAGTATTTTCATTATGAAAGTATTACTGTAAATTACATAATCTAAAATGGGTTATGATGTCTTCTTTGAAAGACAAGCAGTACACAAACAAGGTATTATTATTTAGTGTTTTCTTTTCAATCTCGTTAAATGAGAATTAGATGAATACTCCTCTTTAAGCGCTATCCAGTGGGTAAACTATTATTGACTCGAGTGAAATGAAAAAAAAAATTTTTTTTGTTTAGCTGAAAACACAGTTTGTGCTGCTTAGCGAGTCTGTGCACAAGGCAAAGACATTGTATTTATATGTGATGTCTACCAGTATTCTTTATCTCCTCGTTGTGCTGCAATCACAAACTCAACACAGTTAGGCCTTTCTGTTTAGTCATCCTTGCATTTTAGAGTACACAGCAATTTGGGATGATTACAATTTCGAAATAACGTTTCAACTAGTCAAGCCAAGAAGCTAGTTTTGTTATTGACTTAGGGCTTAACTGAACCATGACAGGCCTGTACTTCAACTCTTGGTTCTTAGGCTCAGGATAACTATCAACTGCAACCTTTTCCAATTAGTTACAGCTGATGCCTCAGTGCTTCCCGTTAGCTCCACCCACGCCAGCGTTCCTATCTTCTTGGAATACGGGGTTATGATGGCTGGAGAGGGGGCGTGAAAATAACATTTGGGGAATTGGTGTGAATGTCAGAAGCTTCAGTTCGTATCGTGAGAGCATGAGAACTAACACAGCCCCGTGGAAGGATTCAGGATAGCAGAGCTGATGGGGATACACCTACCTGCCCAGCATCGTGTGCCTGGCCTCTGCATGTGCATACCAGCTTAGCCCATTTGTAGCTCTTGGGCCCTGCTCTTGGACCCCCCCCCTTGCCCCTCCCCTCTCATCCGCACCCCTTGCAATGTTCATCCGTTATGTCTTGGCTCACCTTCACTCTTGAGGGCCAACCTTCAGCATTGCTTGCCGTTGTGGTCATCTGTTTTCCACCTGACCTGTTTATTTTGGCTCCTGGATGTGGCTCTCAGAGAGGAGCCCTGCCTGGACAGTTGCCTGGCCAGCTGTGGAGCCAGCTGCCTGCTCCAGACGCCAAGGTGACCAAGCTCCTCCTGTCTCCCTCTGACTGTCCCGATACATGAGCTATGGCAGTAGGTGAGCGATAGTAGTGCCACAGTGGTTTCTGACCTGGTCATTACCTGTGACGATCATTTCATGGGTGGGCGGCTCAGGTGTACCTTCATGCACTACAGTGGGTCTTGGGTCCGGGAAGCCTGGGTGGACCTTAGAGACCTAGTGAAGGGGTGGGGACAGAAGAAGAGTTAGGAGACGAGCACAAGAGGCAGAACTGGTTTACACTACAGTGTTAGCCACATCCAGCCCTGGTTATGAGGCAACTGTCCCCCCACACAGGCCATACCTGCCAAGAGCATTGTCTTGTAGTTAATGAAGCTAATGGAAGAACGGGGAGGGAGCCCTCTTAGTGGCCCCATTTTCCGACCCCTGGTAAGAAAAACCTATGGATTAAATCTTCCACTTTTCAGGCAAACTTTTTAAAACAGTTGTCTGCGTCCATTGGTTCCATTTCTTCCTCCGCCAACTGTGACCTAGGTCCTGCCTGCACTGACCCTGCTTCTGCCCAACTGTCCGAATATCTTCTCGGTTCCCACTCCACGGGTGCATCTCGATCTGTTTCTTACTCGATCTCTTGACAGCACTGGGCCTTGTTGACCACAACCGACTTGAAACACGCTTTTCCCTTGTCCGCTGTGAGGCCTCATCCTTCTTCTTTCCTTCCTGTCCCTCTGGTGGCACCTTCTCACTCTTTCAGGGATCCTTTCTCCGCCCATCCTGTAAGCTCTGGTGTTCCTGTGGGTTCTCTCATGGGCCCTTTTCTCTCCCTCGACACCCTCCCAGGGTCTCTCTTTCATCTCTGTGGATTCTATCGTTGCCTTCATGTACCGATAATTCCTAAAAAATGTATCCTCCGCCTTCTAGCTCCAACTGCTACCCTGCGCACATCCCCCAGGAACCAAACCAAACATGAGCAAGGCTGAACTTGTCCCCTTCTCCACCCATCCCCTCTATTTTGTTTCTGTATTTTTGCTGTCCTAGTGAGTGATAGCCTTGTCCACCCAGCTGTTCAAGTCCGACACCCGAGCAGCAGTCTTGACTTCCCTCCCTTTAAAACTCCAACATTCATGCAATCACAAATGTCGGAAGGCTCTACCTGCTCCAGGACATGGCTGGTAAGGTTATGAACGATTTGGTCCTGCTTACTGTTCCCT